AATTCTACAAAAATATCATGTATACGAATCAACATGAATCCAGCACAATAATAAAAGAATGGAATTAAAGTGGAGGAATTTAACCCGTTTAAAATATTAACCCGATACGACTCGACCCATTGCCGGACCTATAAGCAATGGGTCCAATTTGAATTGCTTTTCTCTTGGCCTCGAGACTTTAGAGAAAGTTTGGTGTAGAGGCAACTTTTTTTTTTTTGCCCTCTAAATTATTTTTCTTTGCCCGTTTCAATTTCTAGTCGTAAGGACAAAATAAATTGACGATGAACGATGACAGACTTCGACATACACAAGACATAATTGAACAGCTTCGGGTTCCGACAATCTACGCCGGACCTGCTGTTCGTCTTCTCTGGTGAACCAACGGCTGCCTGAATCTTCATCTCCGACGGCAACTGGCGACCGCGAACGGAAAAGTCAGACAATGGCTGCTCTGGAACATCATCGGTGATTCCTCCGATCATCTTCGCCGGACACATAAGCTTTTTTTAAAAATTAAAAAAATAATAATAATAGTACTTTATTTCCTTCGTCTCACTTAATTTATCCATTATTTGCATATCTATCCATTACACATAAATTATTTTTAAAAAAAAAAACAAAAATACTCCCTCCGTCCTATCGAAAGGTTGTCATTTTTCATTTTCGTCCGTCCCATAACAAGGTAACCATTTCTTAATTTAGTAATTGTACTACATACCTAACATAATAAATATCCTTCCAACTTACACTATATTACACAAATGTCATTACTTTTATATTACACAATACTAATAGGGGTATTTTCGCCTTTTTCACTACAACTCATTATAATACTAATATTAAAAAATCTATGTGCAAAAAGTAAATTGCAACCTTACACCGGGACGGAGGGAGTATATAATTATACATTTTAATTGCATTTTAAAATTTATAATTTTTTATTTTAATTAAATTATTTAATTATTTTTATTAATATATTTTTTAATTATTTAGTAATTATATAAAATCTAAAATTCTGTATCCAATTAAATTAAGCAAATTAATTGAAACGAACATAGGAATAAATAAGATTGCATTGCATGCATTGGTTAGGAATTAGGCTTTAGTGTAGTAGCAATATAGAGGGTTGGGTGGTAGGGGTTGCCCAACGTCATGTCATGTCATGTCATGTTACTATATAATTACACTATTTCTCTTGTTGTTTTCCGTGCCCATCATTATTTAATTCCATAATTATGACTTTTTTTTTTAATATAAAAATCGAATTACAAAACAAATTAGATTTTATTTTAGTTCATTTATATATTCTTACAATTTGCATGTGCGAATTCCATCTATTTATTAAATTATTTGTTTATTTATATGGGAGATATTAAAGTGCAATCGTGTGGGGGATTGAATTAAATTTTCAGTGTTTATCCTATTTTTTCTTCCAAAAATATTAAATCAAACACATATTTTTTATTTTTTATATTATACTAAAAATCAATTTTACATTCAAAACATCACATCAACACCTATTTATATCACATCATAGAACTATTCAAATTCAAAATTTTTACTATTCAAATCCCAACTCAAAATTCAAACCCCCAAACAAACACACCCTAAATGTATATATATTTTAAAATTAAATAGCCCAGTCCAAAAAATGCACATATTTTTTTTTTAATTTTATAATAAATTAAAAAATAATATTACCTTCGTACGACTCTAAAGTTTCATTTACTTTTTACGTGTTGAATTTTTTAATATTAATTATTATATCAAAACATAGTACAAATTAAGAAAAAAATATATTTCCATTAGTGTCTTATAATACTAATAAGAAAAACATTTATACAAAAAAAATTATACAAATATAAGAATATTTTTAATATTAAATAAAATAATATAAAAGATAAATGTGACCTTAGAGGCGGACGGATGAAATATTATTTTATTGGATAATGAGAATATATAAAATTTTTTGATATTTTTACTATCTTTTGATATTTTTACATTATATATTTATAATGTAAGTAAAAATTAAAAATATATTATAATTGTATAATTATTTTATTATATGATATTAATCTATCTCTATACCTCATCCATATATATATATATAAAATTAATCAAAAGACTTAACAAACAAATTGTATATTATATATTATATCAATTTAAATTAAGTAATTATATATATATATAATGTAAAAACTCTTCAGCTAATTCTTATAATGCACCTTTTTGTTTTATTTATTTATTTATTTTTTTTTTTTTATGATGTGAAAATCTGCAGCCGCTACCAGAAAGTACGCACTGGGTAAACCCCCGACCAAACCTAATACCTTTTTGTTTTATGGTTATTATGCATGTTGGCAGAGTAACTATGTCATATATATTTACACACCCACGCGCATACACCCACAATACGTAACTTTTGTTACTTCCTCAGTCTTAAATATTTTGGGCTTATTATTGTAAATACAAGAATTTAAGTAAAATATAATTAGTAGATAATTAAAAAGTGTATTAGTAAAAATAATTATAAATTTAAATTAAGATAAGAAAATATTTAATTAAAATTGAGAAAATTATAAAATTTAAAATTTAAAATATGATTAAAATGCATAATTATATTTTCAAAAATAGAAAATGACAAATTACGTGGGACGAATAAAAATAGAAAATAAAGACAAATTATGTAGGAAGGAGAGAATATTAATTTGTGGTCCTATTATATTCTGGATTTTTCTAAATACATGTATTTTGGAAATTTAAAACATTGTTAACCTTAAAATTAATATTCCATTCATAAAATTTAATGACATTTTTCTTTTGTAAATTATAAATAAAATGTTCTTAAATTTGATGAATGAAGAGCGTATCTAATATTGTAGTACTATTTTCTTTTAATACTTTATCCGTATATCTCTAAGATTACATCTATATTTTATGTCATTATATTTAATATTAAAAATATTATTATATTTGTATAATTTTTTATACAAGTGTTATTCTATTAGTATTATAAGACACTGATTGACGTACTTTTATAAAAAAAAAAAATTAATTTATGCTACATTTTGATATAATAATTAATAATAAAAATCAACAGTAATGTTACTATATCTGTTTTTGAAAAAAAAAAATTGTATATTTTACAAAAAATGCAATTGCAAAAAAATTTAAATCAAATTATATATAAGTACACAGCCCATAACTCCCCATATAATAATTATTTAAATTAAAAAATAATTTAAATTGAACAAATCAATGAGTTTGTTTGGTTTTATTTGAAATTGAGGTTTTTATTTGAATCTTTGTTTGAAATTTTTTTTTATATGATATTTTATAAAAAAAAATTATTTATATATTTATTTTATTTGATATTATACTCATATATTTATTGAAACTTAGAGTGTGTTTGTTTGAGGGATTTGTTTGGATTTCCATTATTCATCCTATTTTTCTCCCTAAAAAATCAAATCAAACACCTATTTTTTATTTTTTATATAATACTAAAAATCAATTTTACATTCAAAACATCACATCAACACGCCTATTTATATCACATCATACAACTATTTAAATTCAAAATTTTTACTATTCAAATCCCAATCCAAAATCCAAATCCCCAAACAAACACACCCTTAAAATATTAATAATTTGAATTTGAAATAGTCAAACACGCCGAGGAATATTTCAATTACATTTGTTATATATTAAAATATTTTAGGATTTTATGTGACCTATAACTGGATTCTAACATTTAGGCTCACACATGAACCCAAAAAGAAAGTAGGCCTTCGGACGCCCATTGAAGAAACGGGTCGGTCGATCAGTCGCTTGATGGGTTGGTCGATCAGTTGCTTGATGGGTCAGTCGATCAGTCGCTTGATTGGTCGGTTGATCAGTCTCCTCGTCTGGTTGGCTGGTCAGTCAGTAGCACGAAATATCAAACCGAAGACGGTTCTTCAAACGGTTGCAACCACGAGGGGATTTTCCGTCAGTTACAACCGACTGCGCACACGATCCGATAACTGATTTAGAAAACATATAACAAGCAGTTCGCATTCGGAAAAAGATCTTCAATCAGCATCAATTTCAGTAAAAATTCGCTTTGGAGATCATCTTTATTTTCTTTTCAGTATAAGTTTGCTTTTATTTTTCTTATATTTCATACGATATTTAAAAATCTTCGATTCCATATATTATTGCAGCTAAATTCGAATTTATTTCGGATTTTACTTTTTATTGTTGATCGAAAACAGCATCAACAATATTTAAATGCTTCATTTTGAATTTAAAACAATGTTAGACTAGACGGTTATACCATTTTGTTAGTTTATTTACTCATGTATTTCTCCTTATTTTTATTCAATAACATTCTATTAAAAATTTCATATAAAAGTAACTTTTATTTAAAATATTATACTCTCTCATCTCTACATAATTTGTTCCTATTTTTTTATTTTTTTTTTGTCTCATATAATTTATCTTTTTTTAAAAAAATTAATTATACATTTCAATCATATCTTAAAATTTAATTAAATTTTTTAATTTAAATTAAACTATTTAATTATTAAATTTTTAATTTATAATTATTTTTACTGTATATTTTTTAATTATTTACTAATTATATTCTACGTATTTACACTAATAAATCCATCTTATCTAGGATGGTGAGAATAATAAATATTTATTTCTATATAAAAAAAAAAAAGAAAAAAGAAGTGTAACGGAAATAAAGCAATCAATTAATTAGAAAATTGAAGCGGTGGGCGACGCACTAGAAAATGAAATCAGTTGAGAGCAGTCACACGTGTCGCGAGTGGATTGGGCAGCCGTCGGCTTCGACGGAAAGTTAGCGTCTGCGCTGTAGATCTGTGTAACGGAAGCCTCCCGGAATTCCGTCACCGTTAACGGAGGTGAGAGTCACGCCAAAAATAAGAAAGTGGAAACCCAATCTGAACTGTTGAACGGAATTCTATGCCCATAAGCATCTCCATCATCATCATCATCAATTCATCATCGTTGCCACCACCACGCTTTCTCTCTCTCTATAAAGCTTGTTTAATTGGAAAAAAGTGCGGCAGGAAGAAGGTGATTCCGCGATCCTCCGCCATGGCATGGTACTCGTGCGTGCACAAGTGAGAATTATGCGAAATTGCACTACTTTGGAGGTGTAAAAGGGTTTTTTCGTTGCGGAGATGGGGTAAGAAGAGAGAGGTTGTAGGGATACGTTAAGGATCGTGGAAATTATTATTATTGTGAGAAGGTGTTTGGCGAAGTGCGAGGGATTTAGCTAGGAGAGGGAGCGGTTATGGAAGATGCGGGGGAGACGGCGGCAGCGGTGGGGAGGAAGAGAAAAATTAGGTTATTAGGAGAATTGCAGACGGACACATCCTCTTTTCAGATCAAGACGCGGCGACGTTTAGACGTGGTTTCGACGGGGAATTCAGCTTCGCCGACAAATTCTGGAGACTCGACGTGCGAGAGCGTTAGTTCCGACCACGTTATGGCATCTTGTAGTTCGAGTAACGGATCGAGTGGACTTTCCAAGAGGAGCTTAAACTTTCTAGATCTGGAGGTATGGAATCGGCAGTTTTAAAGAGAATTTTATCATTTCCTTGTTATTTAACTTTCATGGAGGTCGCACATGGCGGAATTGATAAGGTGTTCGTATCTATAATTCCTTTCAGGACGCCGAGATGATTCCGAAGTTCCGCGCAACATCGGCCGGCGAATCCTTGGATTGCAGAAAGAGGTAAAGTATTCTAAATGAATAATGTGGTTAGTTCATCGCCGACACATCTCTTCAAATCACAATTTGGAATCAATCACCAGCAAATGGAATAGTAAAATTTTCCACACAGCACCACTTTTGTTGTTTTCTCAAATTACTTCAACACCACCATTAAATTATATATTTCCTGCACAACGCATTATTGTAAAGGTTTATCATACTTTCAGAAGAGAGACGACGCCGTCTAGCGAAGTTCAAGCTGATTCAGGCGAGTTGGAGTCAACGGCTGGACCATGCGAGCCCAAATCTCACCGTCGAATTGAGAGATTTCCATCCGAAGCTGAACTCGAAGAATTCTTCACCGTGGCTGAAGCGAACCTTAAGAAACAATTCATCGACAAGTAATTTTAACTTCTTTCAAGCATCATCGATTGATTTAAATTTACTCAACGAGTAAATATCAAAATTCAGCTATCCTGAATTGCAATTTCTCATAATGTAGGTATAACTACGACATAGTGAAGGATCAGCCATTGGAGGGACGCTTCGAGTGGGTTCAGATATTAAAGTAGAGCAGTCACAATGAAGAAGAAAGCAAAGCGCTAACAAATCAGCAATCCCTAGCTACCTAATTATTGTTTCTTACTGGAAGCTCACCAGTATCAAGTAGATTTTTCACGTGGCCTGTTCCACTGATTCAAACCTCAAGCTCCATTTATTTCTTGAAATTTCCACTCTAGGTTTAGTCCTTGCTTTAGCCTAAGATGTACAGCTCGCTGTTTCTATCTATTTCTGTATGCTGATTCTTCCACTTAGTGTGACTGCAGAGAAGAAGAACTATCCAACAAAGGATTGAAGAACCAAGCAGTAATAATAAAAGCTCATTTCTTAATGATCCTACTACCCTTTCTAGTATGCTTTCTTGATTTTACTTATTTATCATGATTTGCAGTCAATATTCTGTGCTGCAGCATTATTCTCTGATATGCTTGTGTCATTGCCAATCATATATATATATAGTTTCTTTCTATCTAAGCAGTAAGTAACTGTAACTATCGTATACCATTTTCTTGCCATTTCACAGTATTCCCATGGCTTCCCCTGCATTTAATTTTACCCTCTTTCCCTTTCCACTAATTTACCTCAGGAGTAGTACAAGTACTTTATTGTTTATTTATTATAAAAATGTGCCTTTCAGTGACAGTGGGGAAAGCAGAAGGTGGGCAAACAGTGGAACAGTACAAGAACAAGAACAACAACAGCCACCACTCCTCCAGATCAATCAGTCCTTGCCGTGGAAGCTACGGACACGTGCTGGAGATTGGGAATTAAAGCTGATCTATGGTGACCCCATGTGGCTGGCTGTGGGATATATATATCATCATAGTGATGAGTTCGTGTAAGTCTCTCTGATCTGATTAATTTCCCTTTTTTTTTTTTGGGTTTTTTTTTTGTTTGGGGTCTTTTCTCTTAAATTTAACACCCACTTACCTGCATTGGCTGGTACTTGAAGTCACAGATATGATATCTGTGTTCTTTCATTCACCACATTAATTGCTATTGCATTGCATGCATTTGTTGACAAAAGGAGGATGGAATTTGCTGATTTGGGAGTTAGTGAATGATGCCTCCTTTTTATTTTATTTTTTTGATTTAAAATTATTTAATTTTGTTGAGAGAAATGAAAGGGGGAACAGGAAAAGGTGGGGAGGGGTGGTCCAAAAGTTTCTTTCCTCTTAGTGGCCTACTCTCTTTTGCCTCTACATGGGGTTGTAGTGTAAATACGACTTTCTCTCCAACTAATCCAGATTCCTTTGCAGCAAATTAGAAAGTGACATTTATTATTAGTATTATGTTCTTGAAATCTTTATTTTATGGAGTTACTGAGTGGATAAAAAGGCAGAGATACATGATAATAATAATAATAAAATATGGGATTTTTGGGATTTGGAAAGGAACGTTTGTTTGGGGATCACATGTGTGTGAGAGTGAGTGATAATGATGATTAGCATATACACATATATAGATAGCAGGTAGGTATAGGGAATAGGATTAGGAAGATATGGTGTTAGAGAAAAGAGTGGCCAACTCACTCCTAAAGGTGAAGCTGAAGCACATGCTGCACCACACCTTAACTAGTCTACCAAGATTCCATATATATATATATATATATATATATCATATTATTACTTGATTACACATACTTACATATCCATACATACTCCCCTACGTATCCATATATATTTCCTCATGTCTTATAACAAATTATTCATTTTTTTATTTTAGTCTGTTTCATAATAAAGTATCAATTTTCTTTTTTTTTTTTTTAAATAACTGTACTTTCTATCTAACATTACAAATAACCTCACAACTTACAATATATTACACAAATATTATTACCTTTATATCACACAATACTAATTATTTTAGTTATTTTAGTAATTTCTACTTTATTCCTACTAAATTCCAATATAATACTAATATTTTTAAAAATCTGTGAAAAAAACAAACGGATACCTAATTATAGGATGGAGAGAGTATATAATATGTATGTATAATATATATTTATAGGCGGCAGGCTGAATGTAAAATTCAGCAATGTGCTAAACAATACACCGTGTGCTTTAATATAAATATATCACATGAATTAATAGCACATAATATGTTCTCACACAACACATACATCTATTAATTTTAACACATAATATGTTCTTATACAACACACATAATTATAAATAAACAACAAATATCTTTATTACAAAAATATATAATGTATGTAATAAAGATATGTATTATTTCTGTATTTTACATGTGCTGATATAAATGCTGATTTTTCAAATTCAGCATCATAATACTTTCCATATTTATATCTTCACCCTCTTTATTTCTTTTTATTATCGAATTTTCATTAGTAATTAATGCAGTGTCTATTTTTTACTTGCTAAAATACAATGAAAATTGATGCCATATTTAACTCTTTAAATTCAGGTCTCACGCACTATTGTGATAATAATAATAATAATAATAATAATAATAATAATAATAGAAAGCATATTATTTATTGCATATAAATTGTTGTCAGCAATTGCGGGGTACGAGGCTGTGTAATATAATATGTATCATTCCAAAGTTGTTTGTTTACCTTTTTGCACGTAGATTTTTAAATATTAGTATTATAATAAATTATAATAAAAAAAATAAAAATGCTCCTATTAATATAATATAAAAATAATGGCATTTGTATAATATAGTGTAAATTGGAATAGTATTTATTGTGTTAAGTAGATAGTACAATTATTAAATAGAAAATGATAACTTTGTTTTGGGACGGACGAAAGTAAAAAATGACAATCTTTCAATGGAACGGGGAGTATTACGAATCTGTGTCGTTATATGTAAATAGTTTAATATTATAACTTGTATCATTATTGATCTTTGCACATGCCTACATATTATATATATGTAAAAAGGAAGCTTCATATCATGTTAAGTAAATTTCACCAATCCCATGAAATTAAAAAAAAAAAAAAAAAAAAAAAGGGCCTTAAAAGTAGAAATATGTTTTGCAAGTGTATTTATTTATTTTGTTAAAAAAATAAATAAATTATTAAGTAACACCACGATTTAACTTTTATTGGCATAAACCAAGTTGGCTCAAAAGAATGTTGTGTTTGGTGTCAGTAGTTAAATTTCTTATTACTTTCTACAACTTCAAATTAATATTCATTAATTAATCAACGATCCTTATTCATAATTTAGTAACTCGGTCCCTCGTTCATGTAATAATTAAATATACTTTTCTTTTAATTAAATTTTCCACTATACCACTATCTTATTTGTTAAACATTTACAAAAATTACACAATCTTTCAAATTATAGTAATAATAATAATAATAATAATAATAATTTAATATTATTATTATTATTATTATTATTATTAATTAGGGTAAACTGTTTTTTTAGTCAGGAAATGACCTTTTTATCGTTTTAGTCCGTAAGTGAAGTCTGTCGCAAACTAGTTCCTTAAGTGAAAGTTTTTCGTTGTTTTAGTCCTCCGGATCCAGAGACGCCTGCGTGGCTCGCCGGAGGTGACGTGTCCGCCAGGTGTCGCTGCGGACACGTGGATTTACTTTTTCTTTTTTTTTTTTTAATTGGACCAAATAAAAAAATAAAAAAATACAAATAAAATTAAAAATAAATTAAAAATAAATTTTTTAAAAAATAATAAAAAATGAAAAAAATAAAAATAAAAATCCATGTGTCCGCCCGTCAGCGACACCTGGCAGACACGTCACCTCCGGCGAGCCACGCGAGCGTCTCTGGCGCCGGAGGACTAAAACAACGAAAATTTTTCACTTATGGGACTAGTTTGCGACATGCTCCACTTACGAGACTAAAATGATAAGGGGTCCAGTTACGGGACTAAAAAAACCAGTATACCCTATTTATTATTATTATTATTGAAAGTATAATGTCATCAACAATAAAGGTGCCCAGAAATAGCTTTAATTTGAATCACCAATTAAAAAATATAGTGGCATGTGAATGCTATGTATATATATATATATATATATATGAAAATGAGTGATCGAATTCCATTATGTTTGTAATTTTTCTCAATTTTTTTTATTTTTTATATTAAATTATATAAAAGTATTCTATATATCAATTTTTTTGTTTCACATAAAACACTAGTTAATTTAATAACTATTTTGTCTTTATAAAAAAAAAAAATCCAATAATGCAAACCAGTGTATGTTATGAATTTATATTATTATTATTTTTAAAATATATAAAAGAAAAGGTAGAGTAATTTGAATAATTACCAAAGATCTCTGACACAGGATTATGTATGTATTATAATAAATGGAATCTTGAGATCCCAATAATAAATTCAAAGAAAGTAAACTCTTTTTTAAAGTATCAACAAAATTAATGTAAAGTTATTTATTTTAATTTTACAGTGTTGCCATGTAAAAATAATTTACATAACATATGGAATTAATATTTTCGCACTTTTCAATTTTATTATTATTAGTTAATTTCTTTATCTAATAAATATTGCATCTAATATATTATTTGTCCTACTTAAATGTATATTATTTTTTTTATTGTAAATTAAAAAATATTACTCCCTCGTTCCATTTATAATTGTCCTAAAGTATATTTGCACGATTTTTTAGGTAATAAATAAATGAAGAGTAAAAAAGTAAAATTTGTGTTTAAAAAAAAATATGACAATAGTATTAGACGTCTTTGGAGTAATATTTTATTGATTAATATAAATTAATAGAGAATATATTAAAAAATCTATCTTTGCAAATTAACAAGTCCTGCATATACATCAAGAATTTGATTAAGTGCTATAATCTAATTTTAATTTATATATGTAAAACTTAAGAATATATTGATATTAGCATGCAACTACTAATATGACAATATATATGTATATTAAGATAAAATATATTTTAATTTAAAATGTTATATAAATTATATTGTCAATTTAAAATTTTAAATTAAGTACATTTAATTTTAAATTAATATAAAAATAATTAAGATATCGAAATATTTTCAAAATATATATATGAATAAAATAAATATAGTGTATGATTAAGTTGTTCCAATAATCTTTTGATCAATTGTTCTTGTTTGTGAATTTGATTTTTAGGTTTGAGTTTTTTATAATAAAAATTGAATTGTTGACTAATTATTTTATATGATATAAATAAATATTGATTTAATGTTTCTAATGTAATTTATATTTTATTATAATATAAAAAAAATAAAAAATGATTTTCTAAATATTAAATCATATAAAATTCACTTACAATTTTATATTTGTATCTCTTAAATAAACAAATATATTTATATTCATTCAAAAAAATTAATTTCTTTTATAAAATTAATTTATACTAATATAAATAAATATTTATTTTTTATTTATTTATATTGAAATTATTATTTTAAAAATATTTAAATATATATATATATATTATAGACATCAAACAAATCCCATCATTTTTAATCTCCAAAGAGAAAGAGAAATCACCAAACAATTAACACTTCCATGATAAAAGCATGAAACACATCAAACAAAATCACACACACACACATACATATATATATATATATATATATATCCCTTAATTGTTCCAAGAAATCAAAGCCAAGAAAATAATAATAAAATTAAAAAAAAAAAAAAAAAAAAAAACAAGCATAACAAAATATTAATTCTTGATCATATATATAAAATCAAACAAGGTTCATCATAGTGATGAACTCATGAATATCAATCAAATCATCCCCATCTTTATCCACCCCTTTGATCATCTTCCTACACACTTCCAAGCTACACCCCTCCCCCATCCTTCTCAACACCCCCATCAACTCCTCCGCGCTTATTTTTCCATTTCCGTCTGTGTCAAAAACCCTAAACGCCGATTGGATCTCCCTCCTTGTAACCCCTCCATCGCCGCTATACGCCACACTAAACTCCCCCAAGTCTATGAACCCATCCCCGTCCACATCCACCGCGCCAAATGCTTCTTGCACGGCTTCATGATCAACTTTGGCCGCGGCCGAGTCGAGGACTTTTAGGGCTTCTTTGTATTCTCCCAATGAAATCTTTCCATCTCCATCGATGTCGAATTTGTTGAAGATTTTCTTGATTTCTTCGGTCGTGGGATGATAGGTTTCGACGCTTTGGAGTTGGTTTTCGGGGAGAGGAGATGATGGTTTGAAAGAGGAGGAGGAGGATGACGACTTCTTTGGTGTCATCCCATGGAAGCTAAGAAAGCTTGTTTTCGACATGGTTTGGTTTTTGAGATATTTGATTAATTGTTTGCTTGTAAGAAATGAGAAGATGTGTTGTGAATGTATATATGTTTGAGTTCTTGATGTGTATATATATAGGTAGTGAAAATTAGGGCTTGGTTTACTTATGTTTCGATTTTGTTTTTGTATTATTCATTAATAAATTTTTTATGTTAAAGAATTACATTGAATAGTTATTTTTTAAGATAAAATATTAATTTAAAAAATCTATTTTTGTTTATATAATGCATTCAATACATATTTATATCATATTAAATACTTTTTTTTAAAAAAAAACTTTTTAAAGTTTCTAAAAAAATCCGAAATTTCAAAATATTACAATTGGTTATCAATTATCATCATGGGGTGTAAAGCTACTAACGCGGTATTGAAAAGATGCTTTTTAATTTAATTAACTTTTTAGATTGAAGAAATATTTACGCGCATATATATATTAGTAAACTAAATTAAGGTGACTATTTTTATATAGATAGACAATGACAACAATCGAACATGTCTAAAGATCTTATTCCAATTTTCAAAAATGGAATCCCATACGAGCCAAAAATGCATCTTCCAAGCGATATATATATATATATATACTCATTTCCTCTCATAACAAATTATTCATTTTTTTTATTTTAGTCTGTCTCATTACAAAATATCCATTTTTTTAGTAAGTGTACTATCTACCTAACATTGCAAATACCCTTACAACTTACAATATATTACACAAATGTCATTACCTTTATATCACACATACTAATAAGGTTATTTTAGTCATTTCTACTTTATTCCTACTACATCCAAATATAATACTAATATTTCTAAAACTACGTGCAAAAAGCAAATGAATATCTAATTATGAGACGGATAGAGTATATGCAAATCTTAATATTATGGTACCTAGATTTATACGGCTTTATACTATTTAGACAATGTGGAGCCTTTTATAAATATGTGATTTCTTATCAAGAGAATTTTTTATTCTTGGTTCAATTTATGTGTTAGGTGATTGACTTATTTCAATGAGCACATATATAATAAGGCAATAACATATATTTCAAAGTATGTAAAAATACAATATACAATACATGTTATGACAATACATAATATAATTTTATATATAAAATACAATAAATTATTAATTTCAACACAATAAGATTGAAAATACTAAATATATATATATATCACAGCATACCAAATGGTACAAAAATAAATATATAAAAAAAATACGTTAAGTTGGGACAGTAAAAGTATAAATTATACCCCATATGTTTTTATAGCACAACGTTATGCCATATTATATATAAAGATGCATTGTTTATTTCTATTATATAAGTTAATTGGATCAAATATTCAAATTTAACTCGGTCAACACCCTAATACTCCCTTCGTCATTTAACAATCTATCCATTTTTTCATTTTGGTCCGTCTCATAACAAAGTATTCATTTCCTTTTTTTCGTAATTGTACTATCTACTTAACATTACAAATACCCTTTTAATTTACAATATATTACACAAATGTCATTACCTTTATATCATACAATACTAATAGGATTTATTTAGTTTTTTTACCTTTATTTTTACTTTATCCCAATATAATACTAATATTTTTAAAACTCCGTGTAAAAAGTAAATAGATATATAGATATGGAACGAAATGGAGTATTTAGGATTTGTTAATATATATATATACATACATATATACCAAACGAGTCGCATCGATGAATATATCGACTCGCGCCGCGTGATTGGATCAGCATGCATGCACGTACGCGTTGTTCTGATTCTTTTAAGTCACTGTCAAATGCAAGTTGATGATACTTTTAATTGTGCCAACTTTTGTGTTCTTTTTGGAGGACTTTGTGAATTTACTATTTATCAAAAAAAAAAATTCTTAAAAATATTACATTAATTTTATATATATATATATTATACTAAAAATTAATTTTACATTCAACGCATCAAATTAATACTTATTTATATTATATTATACAATTATTTTAATTCAAAATTTTTAATATTCAAATCTCAAAGTAAAAATCCAAACCCCAAAACAAACACACCCTTCGAATGAGTAGAAGAAGATAAATTGTGATAAGATTCTTTCGTCTTCTTTAAATGTTTCTTTAATTTAATAGATATATAGTAATAGGTTTTATTCATTTGTATTTTACATTATTTTTAATTAAAAAAATATATTTCATACAAACATATTATTAATCTCACATAATATTTAAAAAATAATAAAAACTATTTAACCCAATGTCATAATTACAATTCTTAAAATATTTTTACAATTCATAATAACTAGCAATAAAAATTATTATTTCATCTTATAAAATATTGCATCTAAAATATTTTTGGAAAAAGAAAAATAAAAATCAAACTGTAAAAATACACAGATTCTTTCAATTATGTAGATGTATTAATATTTATAGAAAGAATATTAATCTATTCATGGGTGTGTTTGTTTGGAGGATTGGATTTAAATCTAATTATTCATCCAATTTTTTTCCCCCAAAAACATCAAATCAAACACCTATTTTTCATTTTTTATATAATACTAAAAATCAATTTTACATTCAAAACATCACATCAATACCTATTTATATCACATCGTACAACTATTCAAATTCAAAATTTTTACTATTCAAATCCCAATCCAAAATCCAAACCTCCAAACAAACACACAAAGTATAGATACGTCACTAATTAATTCCGAATTTATATATTTGAAATGATATAATTCATCAAAAATTAAAAATAATACTAAGTATTACTCCCTCGGTCCCATAACTAGATATTCATTTGTTTTTTGTACGTAGTTTTAGAAATATTAGTATTATATTAGGATATAGTAAGAATAAAATAGAAATGACTAAAATAATCTTATCAGTATGTGTGATATAAAGGTAATGACATTTGTGTAATATATTGTAAGTTGTAAGGGTATTTGTAATGTTATAATACTTTGTTATGGGACGGAAGTGTATAATTTTATTCCACTAACTAAACACATCCTTAATATATAAATTAATTTTAATATATAATTATTTTTATCTAAATTCGTATATCTTCAGTAACATGAAGAATTTATTGGGAACTAAGGGAGTAATAAAATACTTTTAACTTTGTTTTCGATAGTATCTTAATCAATAAATATTCATATACTATTCATTGCGTTAAAATAATAAATGGAAGCCTAATCCAAAATAAGGCCCAAAACTTTTAAAATACTATTTATTTATATAATACATCTTATTATATAAGGCATGAAAAAAAATATGTGAATAATATAAAAAATAATATTTTATAATGAATTATTACTTGTTTTTAATATAGATATTATTCATATACTATATTTTTTTATAATATTTATAGAGAATAATACATTCAAAAATATATATATATATATATTGGATAAACAAACACATATTTCTTCCCCTACAATCAAATATATATATTCTTACATGAATTCAGGTTCAAATTCCGATGTCTTCAAGTTTTATTTGTCACACACGATTCACTTAAGTGTAATTTATCTTGTCGAATTAGTTTGCAGGCTATTAAGTTTGATCGAAAATTTATGCAGAGCGTATCCTAAGGATAGCAGCTATGGATAGGAATGACAATGCGTCAGGTTCAGCCGGACTCGAGATCCGACCCGAATACACATGGTTAGACCAGAGACCCGAATTGGACCCAATTATACCCGGACCCGACCCGAATATACCCAACAAGACCCGATCGACCCGACAGATCCGAATTCTTTTTTTTTAATTCTTTAAATTTAACTTAAAATTGGACCCGAACCTGACATATATTAAATTTATATATTTTATTCAAAAATATTATAATAAAATAATAAATAAATAAAATTAAAAATATATTTCTAATATAATTTATATTATGAAAAATTAATTATATATATAATTAATATATTAGTAATATATAATCGGGTCCGAGTCCGGGTAGAGTCCACCATTGGACCCGATAAGGGTACACACATACCCGACCCGGACCCGGACCCGGACCCGGACCCGATACCCGTATAATTTGACCTGATCCCAAATATATAGGTCGGGTCCGAGTATGGTGTATTCGGATCTATTGTCATCCCTAGTTATAGACTCTCACGTTATCAATATATATATATTTCATATGATTTGATTGTCGTGGTTGTGACAGGTGTGTTTACTTGTAAGTTTTTAAATATGGTTTTACTATTTTATTTTTTTTCAAAACATCAAATTAAATACTTATTTTTCATTTATTTTATTATACTAAAATTAATTTTTACATTTAAAACATCACATCAATATATATTTATATTACATCAAACAACTATTTCAGTTCAAAAATATATTAATCAAAATCAAAATCCAAAACCAAATTCTTAAACACACAGATTTATGTAAATTATAAACATTGAACTATTTTATATATAAATGATAAATAATAAATTTGTCATAATCTCTTAATACACTTCATTCACCTATGAAATCTCATTAGTAAAAAATAAATAAATAAATAAATTTAGAGAGTGTTCGAGAAACAGCTTTTTGAAGAGCTTTTAGCTTATTGAACAACTTTTAATTGTTTGACCTGTCAAAAAGTTAATTTAGATGTTTGGTAAATTAGCTTTTTGAAATAGCTTTTTGGACCCAAAAAACTAATTTCTGAAAAGCTCATCTACCTAGCGTTTTGAAAGAGCTTTTTCATTTTAATTTTGGTTATTCCTTATTTACGCTTAAAACTTAATTATTTATTTTATACATATAATTATATTTCTATAGCAATATTTATTAATTATTTTTAATAGTTTATTTTTGTAAATTTAAAATAATTACTATATTAATTATTAAATATAAATTATTTTATTTGTAAAATATATAAATTTTTAAAACTAAATCCAACAAGAAAAATAAAGGTTATTAATTTATTTATATATATATTAAAACAATAATTAACATAATAAAATTATATATACGAAAGATTTATTATTTTATACTTTACATAATTTCAAGAAAAAAATTATTATTTTTTAATAAAATTAATTTTTTCAAATCTAA